CAAAGGCATATGGAATGGCTCATAATTCCGGCGGCAGCGCTTTTACCACCGACGTTTTTCGGTTGATTTAAATTTATTTATATTTTTACCGCCCAGCGGTGACGGCCCACTGGTGTTTCAGTGTTGATTGTGGTAATTTTTATTATTTTCATAAGTTTGGCAATGTTTTCATCCATTTTTATTTTCAGAAAATCTACGTACACACACGTACCGAAAAAATATTTAATTTTAATGATAAATTTTGTAATCAAAATGACAACTGACGTAAGCCGTCATGCGCCGCAATTGTGTTTACTCTGACGGATTACACTGCGGCAACTATAGAGCTGTTCACTTGCCGCCGATTGCTTTACCGTCGTCCGCTGTTATTCTGGGTAAAGCTTTAAAAAATTAACTGAAAAACAGTAATTAAATACCCTCTTACGCAAGTTAAGTTAATTTAATTGTTGGAAAAAAGAGATTAAATAAAATAATTTAGCTTCCTTACCATATTACTATCTAATAACAGTAACCCCTGCCACTTACTGGTGAGGGTGTCGGTGAAGTCATCACAGAACACAAGATGGGATGAGCTATCAGAACAGCTGGTTACTCTGTATTGCGATTCGAAAAGCAATTCATTCGGACTCGAATACTTGAATTTGTATTAGCCCCTGTCGCCTTTCGAATCGCAATGCAAGCGTTGACAAGTTTCCGATCTTGATATAAAGGTTTAAAGTTTTGAAACAGGCTTTGAGAGTGAATTATGGACTCCCGAATTACAGCAGCCTAATCCATGCGGTATATGCAATTGACTTGGCGGCGAAGCTGGTGAGCAAGATCGACTTAGTTCCTTCAAAACACGCCTTGGTTGTAAAGAGTTAAGCTGCGATCCAGGCAGGTCAATAGCGCAGATCACTTTCTTCGGCGGCATACAGTTAATCCCCTCTGCTTACTGGGACATTGCGGTATGCGGGAAATTAGGAGGACGACAACTGCGTGTGAAAAGGATCTGATGTAGACTTCAGGAAGAGGGGAAGGCATACCGCCTCCCTTGACATTAATGTTTTCAAGATTTAATCAGATGGCTAAAACAGGTGCCGGCAGCAGGTGGACTAATCTACACAGATGTACTCTATCGGGTCACTTATGCTAAGCATCTTAAAAAACACTCGTTCTCCATACTTCGCACCAAAATCAGGATGATTCAAATACATGTAGGGACAAGACATAATAGCATAGTCCTAGCACAGTATAGCCAACATTATTGTCGAATGGAGAGTAGGTGGAATGTGTTCACCTTGGTGGCCCAACTCTTGCCATTTGAGCTGAGAGATGCATTCTACATTTGGCGCAATTCGAAGACGCTCAAGCATTAGAAACTTGCAGAAGCGCTTACAATTTATTAGCTATGAAACTGTTACCAATAATCGCACCAGTAAAATCAAAGCATTCACCAACCAAAGCTCTTAACTGCAATCGCATGCCAAATTCGCCACCAATTTGCCAACACCATCTTCAATGGACAGCGCGGACGGCACCAAGTTTAACCAAATTTGTATTACGTAAGGTCGCGGTAATAATATATACTCGTGTGTACCCGTACATATGTATTATACAAGTAATTGTAAGTGCGGCCGGCCACTCGACTGCTTTTGAAGTGAATCCACAATTACACACCAGCAGTTAAATGAATGTTGGTTTGTTGGCCGCTCGTCGAGAGTGATTCCCATTGCTGCTGTTGGTGTTGGTGTTGGTGTTGGTTGCCTTGCTTTCGCATGTCTAGTGGCTGAAAACCACTTGCAGTGATGGCACTTAATTGGAGGTGAAGAGACCAACGATGAGCACCAAATATATGTACCTAAATACTCACTCGTAGTTGCCACTGGCTTGTTTGTTCGCTGCAGGGGCTATTGTTTTTTTTTCGCGCGACGTGCAATTCACTTGCTTACAACATATTAAGGCAAAAACATGCATACATAGTAATGTATGTATGTCTGCAAATATGTTCATATGTATGTATGTAGGAGTATGCGAAAATGATGGCAAAATGCGTTAGTGAATGAAAAGCTGGGCGCTTTAAAAAAAAATACATAAAATTAAGCGATTTGCAGAGTTATCGCACGCATTTCAAGTTCATTTATTTCGAGGGTTATGGCTTGAAGAACATATTTCCTATAAACCAATAAGTCTGAAATTTTCAAGCGGCTGATCTATTTATTGAGTGAAAAAATAAATAAATAAATTTCAAAGATTAGGTTTGGAACATAGATTTGAAACCGCGTTTTACAAGGGCCAAATCTTTAGTCTTACAAATTTATACTCGGCCAAGTAGAAACAAAGTTTTTTTTGCTCAGACTTTTAATGAAAATATGGGTTATCCTATTTTTGAAATCAAATGTGCAATTCTTTCCATTAGTCGTATGCAAAATGTATTTAATACACCTTGGTCGTATGGTGAAATTATAAACAGGTGAAGTAATAAAACAGCTTTCTCGCGTTACTTTTTTAATTTTCTTGACATTCGGCTATCTTATGGAACTTTTTCCAGCAATTTTTCAAATAAGATAGTGTCACATCTTTCTTCTCGCTCTTATTGCTACACCTATTTAGTACAATTTCACCATGCATTAGGCACGCTACACATTAGAGCGATATGACAGGCGATACGATGGTAAAGCGGCATCGACATGCGCGCAGTGCACATTCGACCGATCACTACGACACGCGATACCATATGCGGTGTGATAGCAAACCGTGTCATTCCACCGATACTCAAGCGATATTATGTCGCCGCAGTATTGCTGTCGTGCAAGTTTGCACAGTTTCCATCGCTTTCTACCAATTCCCACGTACTCAGCATGTTGATGTCGCTTTCATATCGTATCGCGCGTATCGCATCGCTCTAATGTGCACCGTGCCTAAGTAGGTCGACAACCACTGACAGGAAGTTTCATGTCATGGATGCCAGCTTCGGGTTTGTGGCCGCTTGCTCCTCAAAGTTTTGTTAGACTCGATGACAGTAAAAAGGTTGGAGAACATACTTGAATCCTATTTCTGCCACCGCCGATTTACCATACAAAATGTAGTCTCAAACCTAGACTGACATTCCTTCTCATTGGCGACAGGCTTATCGAAATGGAACATTTGCGCCCGCAGTAAGGTAAGGTTGCTCGAGAGTAGTTTTTTGGCATTTCATCCTAATAATTTGAAATCTTACCTTAACAGCTTGGCCTCCTTGAATCTTCAAAGATTCTGCAGAGTTTCGTCCGTCTGATTTGCATACATATCTGCGCAGCTTTTCCTCCAAATTATAGGGCAGCGATTGCTAAACGATGAGCCTCAAATGCTGTAGGCCACTTGCTCAGTCCAACAAAACGTCTGCAGTCCCGTCTGCTCAATAAGTGCGAAAAACTAGATAGTCCTTCTGAGATTGAAGGCAACACCTGCCCACCTGCAGTCCCTCCATGCCTCTTAGATATTGTTCAAAGAAATATTCACTCAGTTTCTGATGGTGGCTTCGAAGTCCGAAGGTGGGAGTACTATAACTGGTTGCGAACCGAAGAATGCCTGGTCCGAGCCAATTCTGGTCAAATGGTCAAATTTCTCATTACCAGGTGCTCCCGAGTGACCTGACACCCAGAGTAAAGCAAACTCATTATGTTTAACAACATAATTTAGCTTAGGTGTCACTATTATTTTAGGTGAATTTAAACTCCTTCCACTCTACCTGTTTTCCACCACGTAAATACCTCAGCCTGAAAGAACGATGTATACTCCCGAAAAGAAAAGTGAAGTTTATGCGATAAAGACCTCAGATCCTGACCCAGAGTCAGTTTTTAAGCCATCAGTGAAGATTCGACAATGTGTGAGTCCGGGCTCAGTGCTGGTATTAAACCGACATTCAGCCTCAGGGTATTCAACATTCTTCAACAAAGGTAATGGTGGCGCACTATCCTGTTTTGGAATTAACATGCAATTCGCTTTCCCTCCGCCCGCTCTTTTATAAACAGGTTGCAAGAGAATGGAGGCCTAAACTTTTCTGTCGATGCCGCATTGATTGAATTAAAACAAAAATATATTTCTTTTTATTAAATTTCGTACATTTATTTATATTAAACTTAGAAATATTTAGATATTCTTCACATTTTCGCACACATTTTATGTACTTCTATATGTGTGTGTGTGTCTGTAAATATATTTATTAAATATTTGTTTGTCTTATCTTTTATAACTTAAATATGAATACAAAGTTTTGTTGAATTTTACATTCAAAGCTAGATTTGTATATGTATTATATAAATTGCTACAATAAGAATAACTAACCCGAAATAATTAAAGAGTAACAAATACACAATTAATCTTTAAGTGACTTAATTCAAATAGTGATTTTTTCAAGCTTCAAAAGGATGCATTTTTATCGGTTTTTTTCGGTTGAACTTTTTCTTGCAAACAATTTCTTCCTAAAGTTTTTTACTTACTTTTAAAGTTACCAATTTTCATTCGAAATAATTGTTAATTTGAATATATTAAATCTAATTAATGGGCGTTTATTTTAAACTATTTTAAAAACATAATAAAATTAATATTTAGTTTTCAGTCTAAAATAAAAGCTTTCAAATTAGAAAAAGACTACGATTTCTACATATTTTTCGTTTTTTATAAAATTAAATTAAATTCACTAATTTACAAATGTTTGTTCGCAAGCATCTGAAAATCAATGAATAATACCAGATATGTATATAATATTTCTTGCATTACAATTTTTGTCAGCTGATATTGCTATTCTTTACTTTACTTAATAATTACATTATATTAACCTTTACACTAACAACATTTTTTTTAGTGCTTAAAACCTGGTTGCGACACATTTATGTAAACTTGTGGCACACTGGACACAACATCTGTTTTTTCGCCATTTGTGTTTAAGTGAGAACAGTGCATAATGATTAATGAAAATATTCGATAGCATTTAAAAATCAGTTAATTTTATTTTTCTTTACTACAAAAACAAATTTTCCGTATATAAAAATCTTGAATAAAAAATATATTTTTTCCTTTAAATACGAAATATTGGGTTCGCAAATTTGCAGATATTAAAACTTTATTTTTCAAGCATTGAGTTTTGCATACAATTTACAATTCTTAGTCTTGTTTTCAGTAAAACGAATTTTCGTAATCCGAACTAAATATTTTTAAAAGCAAAAATAAAATTCTTTGATTTTATTTTATTAGAATCAAGTTTTTTTTTATTAAATACAATTTTTTTAAACTTAACTGCAGGAACTAATACCACTTTGAATTGGTTTTCGTTTAGGCCAAGGCAATAATATTAGTTACCAAGTAAAATAAATCAATTCGATATTCAATTTTTATTAAAAAAACACATAAGTAGATATTATGGATTTTTCCTTAAACTGGAAAAAAGCCTGGAAAAGATGGAAGGTATTCAAACTTTGAACGAACACTCGGAATCCTTTTGAAAAAAAATTTTTTGCGATTTTCGAATTTCCTAGTAAACATTTCAAGTTTAAAGGAATCACCCAAGTGTTGATGGCGTTTTTTTTTCTCAAAATTTTGCGTTGTAATAAAATTTTAGTGTGTGTGTGAGTATGTTGTTATGCAAATGTAAATATTTACTAAATTTAAATTATTGCAAATAATTTATTTCAATTACCATTTATTCTATTTGTGTTTTTTTTTTCGAATGATAAATATCAGTATGTATGCATGTCTATACATGTAATTTGAGTTATTGCATTTTAGGAGCCCAGCTTTTCTCGTTACATTTTCGTTGTATTTGTCAATACATATATTTCATTACCTAAAACTGCATCGTTCTACTTACAAATAATTTTAGCTTTATTAAAACTAGTCTTAAATTTTAATCAAAATATACATACATACTCGTAAAGCATTTTACAATGAAATTTTTAAAATTAATTACATATACGTATTGCTATTTAAAGTGATTTATGGCTTTATGTTTCACCAAAAATGTAGGAATTTCAATGATGCTCTCCAAAAAGTATGCAACGTTCCGTGGAATACCAATTTTTATTGAAAACGAGATGACTAATATCATGTTCTATCCCCAAAGGTTTTCTCTCTAACAGCAATGAAAACAATTTTGAACTTTACTTTGCTTTGCTTACAATTTTAACTCCCTGCTTTTCGTACGAATCCCTCCAGCCTATTTACCTTTAACATATTTACAGTTTCTACTCGTCATCTTCATACATATCAATATTCTCTAGCTGAGTTGTGTAATTTTTTATTGAGTAAATGTAATTAATTTCAAATAAAGCGCTGCAGGAACAATCGCTGGATTCTATCCAAAGTCGCCGCTGGCACCTCCTCGACCGTCCGCTCCTCCGTCGGTTTGGCATTCACCGTCAGCACATCCTCCTTTTGGCCCGTCTCCTGCTTAACTATGCCTTCCTCTACATCCTCATCTGCCTTTATGCTCTCCGCGTCCAGCTTGGGGTCTTCTTTCGGGTCACTATTTCCATCGCCGGAAGCAACGTCGCCCAGCTCATCGATGTCCACCTCGGCGGCGGCGCGTGGTTTTGGTCGTGGTGTAGTCGGCTCGCGTCGTTTCTCCAGCTTCTGTTCGACGGCTTCTGCCGACTCTCCACTACCCAACTCCTCTGTTTCTGCCGATTCTTTTGTATCGTTGCTGGCGAGGCGCGAGAAGCGATCTAATTGAAAGTCGCTGCTGTTCGAGATGGCGGTTTCACTAGACAAGTCTTCAGCAGAATTCATTAGCAGTGCCACTTTTGTTGGCAGCTTCGATACGCTCTCGTTGGTACTGTCGCTGCTTAAGCCCTCGTATTCCGTAGTCGAAGAGCCTTCAATTAGTTCAAAGCCACTGCCGCTACCTTCCTCCGCTGGCTTCCGCACCTTTACTACCTCAAAGGCGCCGCCACCAATGCTACGCTGTTCATCCTTAACATCTGTCTCGACAGCATCATCGGCTTCATTTAGCGGAAAAGTGACATCGCGCAAACTAAAGTCATCTTCGGGCAGCGAAGGATACGCAGGATTAGCTTCTATTGGTATAGCCGCCTCTTCTTCTTCCATATGATGGCCGCTTTCGGTGGAGTGTAGCGGTTTGACCGGCTCTGTAGAGGTAGAAGACAACTCGGGCGCGTCTGTGCTTGAAGCTGGGTAGGCGGAGGCAGGACTCGAGCTGGTAGCGGTTGGGGAAGTCGTTGCTTGTCGCGTTGTACTATCGGAATCGAAAGGAGAGTCGGTTGTGTTTGAAAGTTGTGGTGGTGGCACTACAACGGTGTGTTGTTGATTGGAAGCTGCGGCTTGTATGTCCACGGTTGAGCCGTGCGGAGCATCTGTGGGAATAAGAAAACGGGGAAAGAAGTTAGTGAAATATGTAGCTGCTGGCATGGAGCAGATAATGCGCTTGGAAGTATGCAGCATATGATGCTTGAGTAATTACTGAATACCTCGAATGAACTTCTCAAACAGCTTATGCCTTTTTTATTTATTTATTTATTTAAAATCGCAGATGATAGTATCCCCCAGGACTTACCTTCAGTTGTCTTGAATCCAGCAAAGGGATCTGTATATTCATTCACTCTTGGCCCAGATGTGGTTAGAATGATGTGATAAATGTTATCACTGCCCGATGTTTCGGGTTCCAAATCGAATGTACCTTGAATTTGCAGGCCGCCGCTTTGTCCACTGCCATTGCCATCTATCAGCTCGGGTGAACCGAATTCTTCACCAGCAGTCGACGCTGCCGTTACCCGTTCCGTTGTGGCCAAATTTTCGCGCTTGATATTCACTTTCGTTGGATCATTTGACGATGCGTCGTGTTGCAGTTGCTGCGCGCCAAACGCGGGTATCGCGCCGCCATCCTCTGCAAGTGGCGCCACCTCCGCGGATATTTCACCACTATCGTTGCTACTATTTTCTGCGCTCGCCACACTTTGTGCTGGTATAATAACTGTCACTGTGTTGCGCTCTGTGCTTGGGTAAGCGACTGAAGCGCTGAGCTTTAAGCTCTCACCGTTATTAATGCCCCCAGGGACTGGAAGTACCGTTGGCGGGTTGTTGTCTACGCTGGTAGCTTTCTTATTGCCTGTGTTTCCACTTGAACTTGCCGTGGTGGGGATGGATGTATTTTCACCACTGTGTATTTGCTCCAAATCAGCTCTTGTTGTTGGTGTAGTTGGCGATAAAGCGCTTGTACTTGCCGTTGTTGTTGTTGTTGTTGATGGTGTTGGCGGCGACGGCGGCGTCAAAGTCGAGCTGCCACTGTCAACTGTTGCTGCTGCTGCTGCTGCTGCTGTTGATGTTGTTACCGGCGATTGCTCAGTTGTGGTTGTTGTTGTTGTTGTTGTCGTTGTGCTGGTTGTAGTCGTAGCTTGTGGCTTGAGCATTTGATGAATCGGTATGGCTTTGTTGTCATCGGTAATACGTATCTCAATCGGTTTGGTGATCTCTTTGATGGTGATTTTCGGATTGTTCGCGACCACAGGTGGCACGGGTGAAGACGGCTGCGCTGTCGCGGCGTTCATTTCTGCAGCTGGAGTTGGCGAATGTTGTGATTTGTTTACATTTTGACTGGGATCCAAAATGGAAACTGTTGGTGGAAGAAGATGAATTTTTTGGGTATAATTTTGATTTTTACTACATAAATAAATAAAACAAGTAATTTTTAGCAAAAAACAAACCGACTTAAAAAAATATATATTTCATGATCCAATGATCGGATCTAAACCAGATTAGTATGGGACCACCTCTGAGACACTACCTTTCCGATGCAAAAAAAAAAAAAATAAAAATATTCCGACGAACTGATAACCTCTTCCTTTTTTGGAAGTCGGTTAAAAATAAATAAAATAAATGAATTTTAAGAGTGACCTAGTACAGATTGTAGTTCAGGGCGAGTTATTAAAAAACTTCTCGGTTTAAAATTATCTTAACTATTTGACGATTTTTGTCTCGTAAAAAAGGCACTTAACTTTCTGCCTAGAAATTCCGATTCATTCACATATTTATTTTTTTAATTAAACTGATGAAAATGTGATTTCCGCAATATGATTAGACTCGGATTTCCATTTAAAATATTTTTCTGCTAAATTTTTTTATTATAAATTCTTTGTTTCATAACATTAAAAAAGTTAAGTCCTCTACTCACCTGGACAATTGTCATATTCCGGACAACAGCGTCCTTGTACATATTTTGGCTTGCAGTCGTCGCGATAGAAACAGGTAACCGAACTGCAGAGTATTTCACCACCTGTGGCAGCAGAATTAAAAAACAAATAAAATTTCATACATACATAACTACATACGTGCATACTACGTACACTTGTGGTCCGCAAACTTTACCAACACTTAAAAAAAAATGAGAATTTTATAAACTAATAAAAAAAATATTATTTATTTTTTAAATATAGTTTCAACTGTAGCAAAAACTATATATGTAAATAAAAGCTTCAAACTTTGTACATAATTTAGAAAAATGCATCTAACATTCTTAAAAATTTCAAAATTTGTAATTTTAACTCTGTAAATAATTCAAAAAAATTTTGTGCTTTTTAAATATAGTTCACACTAAAACAAAATACATACACATGAATTAAAGTTTAAAACTTTGTACAAAATTTAGAGAAATTCATTAAATTTTCATCAAAATCTCAAACTTTTTAGGAAAATCTCGGTTAAGCAGATTATTAATTTAATTTTAGTATAATAATATGCAAGTTTGAAGAGCATCAAAATTATCAGTGATTTTTGAAATTTTTTAGCCAATGGTTTTGTGTGGTAACGCATGCTTTTTATATGGGGAAAAAGCTCAACATCGAATGGATAAAAATTTTCAAAAATCAAACAGAATTTTGAGTTTCTTCAAGCTTGCACTTTGTTATACTAAAATTAAATTGCATACCCGAAAATTTTCTAAAAATTTTGATTAAAAAATTTGAAACTTGAACTTATTTTTATACATATATACATACATATATTTTGTCAGTGTAAACTCTATTAAAAAAAAAAATAATATTTTTTTATTAATTTTTTTTTTAAGTAGTAGTAAGGCTTGCGTGGCCATAAGTGTATATGAACATTATAGCATTGCAACAACACAATTTATTTTATCTCGAAATCAGATTCGTAACTTATGTACTCTGCACTTACATTCATTTTATTTTTATTTTTCTACACAACGCTTTTGATTCACACTAACCTTGACAATAGCACACCGTACAGGGTGTCTCCGGGTCTACCAACTTATCGCCATTCAAATAAGTTTTGCCATCCTTCTGACAATCTGTGAATGCATGAATGAAAATGAACGAAAAAAAAGAAGAACAAAGCAAAAATAAGTACATAAATAAAAAGTGGCCTCAGCAATATTAAAATACAGATAAAGTATGAGTTGTGAATGTACATACATATGTATGTATGTGTATATGCATGATGTTTGTTTGTATGTGTAAAAGTAGGAAAGGTGGGAAAAATCAACAAAATTGCACTTAGCTCGCACATTTGCATATACTAATGTAGATACACTACTATATATATGTACTTATTCCTACGTATTTGCATACATTAAAATATAAAATATGCCAGCAGAAAAAAAAATTCCAGTCATCAGTTGTGAACTACTTTAGTTCTCAGGCCCAAATGCCTCCTTACAGGCAATCGACTCAACGAGTTAACAGCTGTTTGGTTGTACTGAAATCGTTCTTTGCTCTTGGTTACATACATATGTGTGTCTATATGTATAAATAGCAAACTAATGGAAATCAGAAAAAGTTTCGAATCAATTTTCGTTAGAGCCCGATTAGTACGATAGTAAAGAGTAGATTTTCCTGCAGGGAAATGTCTGTGACAGCTAAAGGTCAGTATGCCGCTCTCAAGAAAAGCAAAAGCTCCATATAAAATTACGTACAAGATGTGGCTAAGAAATTTTCTTGTGTCAAAATTTTCTTTAGGCACTACACAGGTCTTAAGAAATTTGCTACTCTTTCTACTACGGGTTTCTAAAGTTTTTGGTGAAAAAAGAGCACAAGGCTTGCAATAGAAATATATGCCCGTTCCATTATTTCTTGAGGAAAGAGCGAGGCAACAGGCTGGTGAAGTATCAGTTGTCAAAAATCCTTGGACACACACACGAATTAATGGCAATTTTTTTTTACCGCTTTCTTGAGAGCTTCCACTAAAACTTGGCATAAAAAATGATGAGTCTATTTTTTGGTTTCCACACAAATCAAAATTAAATAGTCTCAGTTTCGATCGATGCTGAAAAGGAATCAAAACCTAGCCATTTTTGGAAAATGTCAAGATTTATTTGAAAATGTCCAAAGTCCTTTGCAAAGATATCTCTTTGGTATAATCACACTTTCATAAGTAAGAGAATATCTTTAAAACCGTTACTTAAAGCCTCGAAATATGTACGACCCTGAATCTTGCAAAGTACATCCTTCTGTCGGGCAAAACGAAATACTAAACAATCTGCTATTACTTACCGCACTTGTAATCAGGACAACAGTATCCTGTCTTCTGTATGGCACGACATCCCACTTGCTTCTCGCAGGTTGCCTTAGTCTCCATCACGAGAACACCGTCCAGCAAACACTGACCTACGACCGATATGCGGCGAATGAACGAATGCAGATGCAGAACAAAGACGACCACGAATGACGGACGAACGACGAACAGCAGCGGAAGAGGCGTAAACAAACAAACCGGTAGGCACGGAAAAAATTGAAAAATAAAAAACGAAATAAGAAAATAGAAAAAAGTGAAGTAAGAAATTTGCGAAATGTTAGTTCAGATAAGCGACACCGCAACAGCAGCCAACAACCAAAGAGCTGCCGCCACTGAACGCCTCCAAAGCGCCAGTTGACACGCTCAAGTGGCTCTAAGTAGCGCCGGCCGCTCACCGACTTCGGCAGTCGCCAGGTGTTGGTGGCGCTTTCTGATATGTAATTATAGTTGCTGCCGGCATCGCATTGCCTGCTCACCTTGTGGCTGGTCGAGTGTGGCCGGTTGAGGCTCCGCCGTCGAAGTGAATTCCTTTGCCGCCGGCTGCTCCAACATCATCTTGGCAGAAGAGAGATCGCGCGTCAGCCGCACCAAAGCCGGACCGCCGACGCTAACCGCAGGCACTATTTGGTAGAAATGCGCAGCTTTTGTATGGGTAGGTATTGGCGTTCCAGGATGTTTGTTGTTGTGGCAGTGTGGGCGTGGGCGTAACAGGACATGCAAAGAAATGTAAATGAAATGCAATGAAGGCGTTTCTCAAGAGTCTTTGTGTACGTATGTACTTAGATGGAACGGCAGATGAAAAGTAGAAGGTAAGGTGATAAACAAAAGCGAAGGGAACGAAGCAAAAAATAAAAATGGTGGCACAACTTCGAAATGACACTTTGCTGTAGCTACAAAATGTAGGATCTTGCTAGCAGATAGCAAACGCGCAACCAAACACTCTCGGTTAACTGCATCGCACACAAAAGTTTAAATTAGTTTACCAGCTGGTTGCCAACCCCAACCGCGCGCGCGCGGCACCAAAGCGGAAATTAGGCTAGTGAATAAACGGCGAGCAAATGGCAGGCAGCGACCAGCAAATAGTTTATTGTGTCTGCTTTCAGTTTTGGTTTTTTTGCAGCAGTTTGTGGCGCTTTTGCAGCCAAAGCGGCTGTGCCGTTGCTCTCCGTCAACTCCTGCAACAAATTTTTTAATGTTGACTTCAGTGAAATGGGAGCGCTTTTGTATTTGGTCGATGCCGACAGGTTGCAGCTGCAGCGCCACTGTCGTCCTTTTGCAAATGTTGACAATGCCACACAAAGTGGCATGCTATGTGGCAAGCAGCTTCGACGTGCTGTTGGGCGGTGTGGCAATGTTAATTTTGTGATTAACGCATTGGTACATTGCGCTGTGTGTTTTGCTAATAAACAAAGGCAAGCGAATGGAGGGGCCAACGATTGGATAATTGCAGGCGGCATGCTTTGCATTTAAAATGTCAGTCAACAATTTTGGTGAAACTGTATTCGAAAAATCACCAAAAGGAAAATTTAGTGGAGTTTTCAATGGCAGCACTAATTGCTGCAACCATGCAACCATGTACATACATACATATTTAATAATTTTCAGTAATGTTTTAAAGATTTAATTAATACAGTTTGATAGACTACAATAATTAAATACTAGGAAAGTGCTTCAACAAGGCCTAGAGGTTTTTGTTATTCGAGGAATAAGAACATCAATACACTAACGCCAGTGTTAGGACTCGTTTTTTCGCTTTGGTGTGGGAAATCTCGAAGCTTAGATAATCGATGGAATTCTTCCCCTGGTCAAAGCAACATCGTAATAAAACATAGAACAAAGGTTTTTTCTTAACAGCGGTCGCCCCTCGGCAGACATTGGCAAACCTCCGAGTATACTTCTGCCATTAAAGCAACTTCTCATAAAAATACTATCGCCGTCAAACTGTAGGTCCCCCGGCTCAAATCGGAGTGGAAGCTCGTTCAAACGCTAACATATTGGGCAAGCGCCAATCTACTACCTCGGCGCACTAAAAAAAAAGTGGTGTGTGCTCTTAACCAGACCCACCTACTGACATGTATTTCGACCAGCTGAATCCGAATCTGAGACCTGTTTGATTCGAACACCTTCTAAATTTCAAGATAATTGCGAAAATTGCGAATTTCTCGCCATTTTTCGGTTTTTCGTAATTTACTCGAAACTTAGGAGGCATACGAGTCAAACAGACCTCAGATTCGGATTCAGTGGGTCGAAGTATATGTCGGTAGGTGGGTCTGGTGCCGATGTTATTAAGCAATATGGGCTATCTATCAACTTTAATATAAATTTACTTAATTTTCCAATGCTATTATGTACGAATTTTTATGAAATCCGGGCTTACTAGATCGTCTATAGTTCTAGTGTGACGTTCTAAAGCATTTTGATTACGTATTTATTTAGATTTAAAATACGAAGTAATGCACTCCTCAAGTCGATACATTTTAACAATTAGTTCACACATACACACATATGTATTTAATTCTTAAATTTTTACGTTATAAAGTTTGACGCTTACTGGCCGCCATTAATTTTGCTGCTGCAAATTTATTTACTATGTGCGGTTGTGTGTGTGTGTGTTTTTTTTTTTTGAAATTTGAGAGAATTGCGTCTGCAACGGTTATTCTTTTATAACCAAGCATAAAAATCTAATTTTGTACGCGTGTAGTAGTATACAATTACAGTAACTTTTTTCGCTCGCCTTCTTCTTCTTCTATTTCGAGACTTTAACGCTGGATGCCAAGCAGCATCTTTGCTATGCTTTGTTGTTGCAAACTCATTTCCTACTTCATCTCAATTGCGGTAATTTATTGAATGAGCTAACGCTTGTTTCTATGGTGTTTGTTTGTAAGTATGGAAGCACTGTGTACATAATATGCATTTAATGGATTATATTATTTCTGTATGTATTTATAGCAACACGATTTAAAATGGAAAGCCTGTTGCTAGCCAAGTGATTGTTGTGCTGTGATGGACGGCAATGACGGCAAGCTCAATCATTGTATGCAGTGCGAAGTTATTTTATGCAAAAAAAAAAAAATTATGATTAGCATCAAATGGTTTAAATTGATCGCGAATGCATAGCTGCATACATACGTACATACATACATATACATATATGTTTACTTACTTACGAGCATGTGAATTTTGCTTAAGGCGTTTCAAGCATACATAGCATACAACAAAGTGTGTATGTAGCATGTTCGATGTGATTTTGAGTATGTTTATATGTACATTAGAGTGGTCCATAATAATAAAGTCGGAATTTTAATGCCGCCACCCCTTAGAATTGTTCTGAACCGAAAATAAATATACCCCTATTTTTTTATTTTGAAATAAAAAAATATTTAGGGAGTGCTCACAGCGCTCAAAGTTTTCCATGTATTTTGTATGGGGGAAAAAACAAATTTACCTAAAAATCGTATAAAACTCTTGAAAATCAATATTTTTCAATCGTAAAACTGTGGTTCTCTTCAGGAGACTTAAAATATTAATATCCAATTGTTTATTTAATCATTTTTTATGATTATAGATTTTTTATTGGTCCCCCCATTGCATTCTCTAGGACCTATAAGATATAGTTACCATGAAGATATTGTTAAAGGAGCAATTGGGTATTATTACCGGGAATCTCCTGAAGATAAACTAAGTTTTCCCATCGAAAAATATTGATTTTCCAGAATTCTACACTATTTCTACGAAACGTTGTTTTTTCCCCATATAAAATACATTGAAAACTTTGAGCGCTTTGAGCACTCCCTAATTTTTTTTTTATTTCAAAATAAAAAAATAGGGGTATTTTTTTTTTTGGTATAGAACAATCCTAGGGGCTGGCGGCATTAAAAATGCGACCTTATTTTTTTTACATACATTTTTGGACCACTTTAATGTACATCCTGATATGCTTTTGGTGCGTATAAATATGAGCATCGTCGGCTACCCAATTTAGCAACAAACAGCTGCTATTTTCATATCAACATTAATTGACTAGATGCGCAATTTTCGTTGCAAAGTCAACAATGAAGGCGGTCACTCATACGCCCCGACTGCCGTGTGATGATCACCTCTTTGACAGTTTTTACGCTTAGGCCCAGGTTTTCTTTCGGTTTAGAAAATAAGCTTTGCATTTACTCAAAATCATAATTTAATGTCGCCGAATTTTTATGCATATTTTTTTATTAAAAGTTATGAAGGGCGATTTAAAATATGAAAATAAGTCCAATAATTTGCACGAATTTTTTTTTTTACATATTTCTATGCTATAACTCTCAGACGGTTCAAAAATCAAATATACAATCATGAACTTTGTTCGAACAGCAAACAAGCAAGCACAGCTTTAACGGCCACCACTGACAGTAAACATAACTGCAGCGGATAGCGGATAGCGGGTAACGGGCTGACGGCTACCCGAACGAATTTTCCGACTGGAATCGATCAGCCCGTTGAGTGTCCAACAAGGGCCGTCGAGAGAAAACTGTACTCGGGGCCCTATATATAAATTGTATTAATTCAAATGTATGTGTGCATTTTCTCAAATGTATAGAGCCAGAAACAATTAACACGTATCGGAATATATTTATAATAAAAGCCTATAACAAAGGTGCAATTACATTTTGAAAAATTAATAACAAGTTATGGTTCTGAAATTTCAGGGCCTTTAAAAAGCCCGGGCCGCGGTGTCTAGCGCTTAGGTGATTTAATACTTAAGTACTTATGTATGTTCGTATGAACGAGTACTTATGTACATTTGTGTGTAATTTCTTCAAGCATTCAATTCTGTTGAGATGCTCAGACACAGTTCGTCACCGACATTAAATAATAATAATAAAACGCGTCTGTCGTGCTTTGAAATTAACATACAAATTCTAGCTACTACTAATTCTCTGTAAGTACCGTTTGACGCCAGCTCCGGCTACTGAAATTGAAATTCGAGATGTGCTACTGAGAGCGTAGAGTGATATGCTCGCCAACTCGTCTTGCTATCATTTTCAAAATAAAATTTTCTTCACAAGCCGTCTGTTTTACCTGATATATGTAGATGTAGCATTTTTCAAGCAATTGTTTTTAGTTTTTTATTTATATGTATGTATACATATTTATTTATATTTTTATGTAATTGATTTTTTTTTGTTTTGTTTTTACCCGCGCCATTGTATTCTCAGCTCTTTATTTATACGTAATACGTTTCCATTGTATTCTTAGTTTACTATGTACATACAACACACAGCTAATATTCTTGGCTATTGGGTAATCTGTTTGTTGACAAGGGCAATGCTAGCAAAGTTATGGTTGAGAAGCAGCAGCGGCGGCCACAAAGCAATAGCTCGAGCTAAATCGCTCGTGCCCATATAAATTACGCTTTAGTTTATTTTAGTTATCCATTGTTTATTTTTAAGCGGCGATTTCCGCGTTATAAATGGGCATGATGGGCACACATACATACATACATATCTTCAATGTTGACAGCTGTTGAGCTTAGCACACCTCAGCGCACCGCAAGCTGGCCATCATCAGATCGGCACTATCAATTTCCATTTTCAACTAAGTTCAGTCAAAACTGAGATTACATAAATCGAGCTTACATTTTTTTCCCCCTATTAGCTAGTTA